TATATTCGCACCACAATATAATGCGTATGTAATTCATTCACACACCTAATAATAATACTCCCGTCGTCCCGTGAAACATTTCCTCTTTCTTTTTTTATCAGTCCCACAAAACACTTCCCATTTCTATTAAAAAGTCACTTTTACCTCTTACTTTTTTATACCCTAACTATCACATCATACCTTTTTACTAATAATTTATCCATCAAATCATACTTTTACCCATCACATCAAAGGACATTTTTGGAAATTTAATATCAAAATACACTTTCTTAAATCTCTTCTAAAAAGCAAATGTCTCATGTTTCACGGGACGGAGGGAGTGATAATAAAGTAGTTGCATTGTGTGCGTGTATGTGATTTTCCCCATTTGGCTAACTCTTTCTGTTTTTGGTTCTTTTATATTTCTACAATCCAATGCAAACCATTTGATCTTAGATCAATTTCGACGACGGGGAAATTTTAACTAGAACTAAATATGTTCAATACCCTAAAATTCTCTCTTTTTTTAATCATCTTTTTGGAAAAGTTTTAGAAATTAGATTGTTAATCACGACCGGCAATTAGCTCTACTAATTAATTACGAAGCGTACTGAATCAGGACTTAACCCCGTCCATTTCACCGCAAGTTATATTGTACGTTCGACTGTATACAAAGATGAGTACGACGGGCTGGTGAAACGGGCCAGACAACAAATGGGCAACAGAGGAAACGTGAACAGAGTTATGGTAAGAATAGAAGTTTACTTATTTTGCTTTACTCTTTTCCTATATAAAGAGAGTTATACAGTTGTATTTATGTATCAATTCGATAGACAGAAATATTTTCTCCACTATTATATTTTAACATTAATTAATTTTTAAAATGCTAATACAAAAAAATCACCGATAGATAGTGTTTTCAAAACGCTAACGCTAAACTCTGACGCTGTTCTCAAACGGGACCTTAAACTAGTCCAAACAAAACTATAAATAAACGTACAACGTTTTCCACATTCAAAATGTAAATTGTAGAGTACGTAAATTTTCAAGCAGTCATTTATGGAACAATTTTGAAGTAATATGCCGCCACTCTTACTATATATGCGACTATACGTACACCAAGGAATTGAATACTAGCACAAAGTCTCAACATATAAATGATTCCAAAATATTTAAGAGTTGAAAATTTGTCAAAAGATAAAAATATTGAATTATTCAAATGTGACTCTCATATGGGTACTATTTATATCATCATTGTGATCATTAATAGAAATCGATCACCTACTATTTCTCTATAAGTGAAGTTATTCAAATATTACCCAAATTAAAATACTATACTCCCTTTGGTTTTAAAAATCTTTCTTGTTTTGATTTTTTATTAAATAGTGATACTTTTTTATCATAAATTATGAGAAAATATATTTAATTACAATATAATTAGATTCAATCCATCTTATGATATACTCCCTCCGTTCCCCGGTATTTGTCCACTTTCATTTTTGCACACCATCTAATGCACTTCTTTAATTCATTTTATCTTGTAATTTGTATATTAAAAAATTATAAAAATTATATATTAATAATCTATATGTTAAGACAAATCAAACAAGATCACACATGACTATATTTAGGCTTACACATTGAGAGAATTTGATGAGTCAAAGTGCTTAGATGAACAGTTCCAAAAGTCAAATGTGGACAAATACAGGGGGACGGAGGGAGTAGTTTTGATATATAAAATTTTTATACATTTTATTTATTTATTTAGATTATGTTTAATTTATGATCAAAGAGTGTCACTATTTGATTAAAAAAAGTTAAAACAAACTAATTACAAACATTCTTTCTAAACAAAGTGTTTATCTTGATGGACTTTTCACAATCCTTTTGGTTGAAATTTGATTGTTGTCAAACACAAATTTTTAGTGCTACTTTTCAAGCAGAATATATTTGAAAAGACTATGATAAAATAATCTTGTAAAAACTATTTGAAGATAAA